TGGCAGCTATCCGTGCCGTAATAATACGTAATATATATAAAGCATTCTTTGTATATGTTTATAATATTGTTATATTTAATATTTATTGTTTATATGTTCAGTTCAACTTAATATTAATTTAGAAGGTTTATTAATTTATTTTTATGTAAATATTTAGTTTAGAAGCAGCAGAAACTTTTCAATTGATAATACAAGATATTCATGTGAACCAGATAAAGGTATATTTCATGTCTGATAAATAGTCAAGAAAATCACAGATGTATATATATTATTGTTATTAATAAAATAATAAATATTTATATTTTATAATATATATTATATATATTTATTACACTCATGAAAAACAGTCAGACGTGTTATGTGATGCAGTTGCTGTCGTGAACTTGTTGCGCGAGGATTGAACTTATTCTCTACAGCAACCAGACATCATTTCTCTTTATTTCCATTCGTTATTCTGTCAAAGCAACATTTAGCACGAGGTTGCATCGCCATGTACATTAGCTAATGACATAAAATGGAATCCGGTAATAAAGATGATGTTTCTGTTACAGAAGTTTTTAACAGTGAGTCTAATCATGGAATCAGCCATCCTTGGCCTTACATAAAAGATTATTTTGTATTTTTGGAAGTGAAAGTGCAAGTGGATCTCAATTCTAAAGCGTCTTGTTGCAGTATAAGTTGTGTTTACCCCAAAAAAATGTTTACAATGCCAATAAGAAATCACATCTTAATCTAAAGAAACACATTAATTACAAATATTTCCATAAACTGAAGGATTTTAAATCATGCTGTAGAGTGCATTTTCTCAATAAAGAAAGACATTTTTGAAGCCAAAAAGAACTGGATTGACAGACAACAATTTCGAAAAGCTGTTGCCTACTGCAGTTAAATAACAAATTAAAATTGAACAAATAATAAGGGACATAATATCTTCTAATATTAGAGACTTATTGTTTTATATTAGCCTATTATTACTGTCATCATATTCATTTAGTTTTTGATCTTGTGTTTTTTAATCATTGATTGTATCGAAGGCTCCATGTTTGTTAGCTGCTTTCCTTTTGTCATTCACAGATATAGATAGGCTGTTCTGAGAAGTCTGTCTTATGTTAATGTAGCAATAAAATATTACCATTTACCAATATATTTTCATTTTTCATTTGTTGATTAGCCATTGACAAACAAAAATTATCATAGAAAATGTCACTTTCAAAAATAGCTGTAGTTATAACACCGCAATATTTATATATATATATATATATAATTACAACAGTAGTGCCTGTGTATTTTTCTTGCTGTAGCAATAGCAGAGCTCTGTCCACCAGTGGCACAGCGGTATGTCTGCGGACTTACAACGGTAGAATCCGGGTTTTGATACTCGTGGTGGGCAGAGCACAGATAGCCCATTGTGTAGCTTTGTGCTTAGCTTCAAACAAAACAAAAGCAGAGCTCTATTGAAGAGGTAATGTGCAAAGATATAGTCCTGGATTTAAATCTTGATCCAGGAGTCTTGTTTTTCATTTAAATTTAATGTAAAATATTGTCCAAAGCTGGTGCAACTAGCTTATAGATAAAAAAGACCTACAAATTTGTAAATCAGTGTTAAAAGATGAAATCACGTTTTTTTATAAGTTTCAAAAGCAGAATATAAAAAAAATGGATAGAAGTTAGTATTTGGTAAAAACAGATTTTGGTATTTAGGTAAAAATCTGTGAAAATATGTTTTTCATTTTTTTTTTCAGGGGTAACTGGTTAATTTTTCTGTTTTACTTAAAGATATCAAAATTCGTTGATTGATTTGGGTTTTAATTCTTGAAACTTTATGTTTTTTTTTATAAATTATAAAGTACTCTGTTGAAAACATCGTAGATATACTAATATCCCAATTCTAAATATTTTTTATTCATCTTATTTGAAACTTGTATGTAAAATTGTGTTAAACAGAATCATTTGTGTATTCTTATAACTTCCCTTTTATATATGAAAATGTAATCAATTTTTTTTGCAATTTTAAAATGTTACTCTAGACAAGCATTGCACATTTGAATTATGGTGGCTTTTACCCTATGTGCACAGGGTCATTTTGTTGTACTTATGCCCATCTTGGATAATTATAGAGTACAATAATTCTGAATTTACTGAGTCATTCTGACTCAGACTAATTAGTCTGATTGCAAGATGATTATCACAATAAGAATAAAAGTACTTTTTTCTTAGCTTACATTTTCTCCTAAATTAATATAAATTTTTTTCAGTAAAATTCGATATTTTTTCTGTTATTTTCTTTACCCTAACTGTAATGACATTGGCAATGCAGGGTAAAATAAAAAAAATTAAAAATACAAAATAAATCTAAATTACCCTATCTTCTTTTTAGAATGACTGCATATTCTATCAGACAATTATACATAATCTGTTCTTACAGCCAAAGCTAATAGACTTTTCAAATCTTGGTTCATTTAGTTTTATTGCTATACAGTTACATTTAGATCCTTACAGAGTACACCAAAAAGCCACTTTTCACGGCGGGACAGCTTGTGTAAACAAACAATCAAGTTACCATCATACATATTTGAATTACACAGTCATGAGTAATTTTTTCATTCAAGTTTTCTTATCTCACCTAATAAATTCTTGATTTTTACATTTTAATAACTTTTATTACAATAAATAAATAAAATATGCATAAAAAATAAGAAATTTAGTACTTATGTCTGGAGGCCTAGCATGGCCAGGTGGTTAGGGCGCTCGACTCGCAATCTGCGGGTCGCGGGTTCAAATCCCCATCCCACCAAATATGCTCTCCCTTTGAGCCTTGGGGGCATTATAATGTGATGGTCAATCCCACTATTCGTTGGTAAAAGAATAGCCCAAGAGTTGGTGGTGGGTGGTGATGACTTGCTGCCTTCCCTCTGGTCTTACATTGCTAAATTAGGGACGGCTAGTAGTGCAGATAGCCCACATGTAGCTTTGCGCGAAATTCAAAACAAAAACAAATTTATGTCTGGACTCTTGCCCTTTCTAGGTATTTCCCATGTTGAAGTTGAAGTTTTGTAATCCTACTTTTGTAACAATGTTGGTGTTCCACAACATAATTCGACTTTTATTTTGAATATGCAGTTTAGAATGTAAAATATTATCGTGCACAAAAATAGAATGTCCTAAAACTACTATAACTTAACTGGCTTTCTAACTAAGGTATAAATGGAATAAAAAAATTCCGTTATCTGGTTGAGCCAAACACCACAATGGCAAACAATAAATGAGGCCAAGTATTTCCAAACTTGTCACCTGAACAAACTAGCCTCATAACGAGTTCAGTAAAGTAGAATCTTCTCTTTCTATTGGTTAAAAATAATTCAATAGAAAAATGTCAGAGAGAATATGCAAGTTTGACTTTCCTGTTTATATCAATAAAGCAGAAAGATTGGAGGCTATAAATTTACGTTATGGCTTAGCAATATCTATACTATAAGTGTGTGATTTGTATCAAAATCGGGATATCATATAGGAATAGAAAAAAAGTAAAATGGTCAATTCAGAGTTAAGAAGTGCCATTGATACAGGGAAGTGAAAAGTGAGAGTTTATTGAAATATTTTCTTCTGAAATTAAGAAAGTTGAATAATGTTAAAATTTGGATTATAAATGATATTTTGATCTAAGTTTATCAACATATATTGATAATAGAGTTGTTTAATTATTTTGAATGTAATTCTTAAAAAAGTTGTGACATACACACTTTTGACCCCCCCCCCCACTTCCATACACACAGGGTTAAGATGTGATATTCTTGCAGTTGTATAAAATTAGAGCTTTTGGTGCAAAAGGAATCTGGTGAACTCTTTAAAAGTATCACCAGATTTGTCCACAGGAATAAATGTCAGTTTCTAGGCTTTCCCTTTAATTATGACCACTGAAGAAAATATTTAGAAAAAATCTTTCAATTTACTACTTTCATTTTAAAGAAGTCTCAGTTCTTAGTTCATCATGTTTACTTAGAGTTCTACTTATTTCATGCATTTGCATCATTAAATTATAGCAGTCATTTCATTGTAAACTTTTCTTCGCACCACAGTTTTTGTTTGAATTAATGTAATTTGAACAAGCAGCTTTTTATGTTTCTGTCATAATGTTCTGGATCATTATAATTCTATTGAAAATGTTTTCCTCATAGAAAGGTACTTGAGAATCTCATTAATGTAGTGTAAACTTAGGGTTACATTTTGTATTTTGAGTTATTAAAACTTGCCAAGTTGGTTTGGAGATAATTGCAGTAGTAATACCGTGACATTCATGAAGATCTTGTTTAGCATTTGGCGATTTTAGCAGTAAGGACCAGAGGGAGGAAGTTGTTTTGTCAAGGCTCCACATTAGCCACAGTTGGCTGTACATCTTGATGTCAAATTGAGGTTCATACGTTATGTTAAAACTTTTATTGATACTTTTCTGATTATTCAAAGTATTTGCTTGATTTGTGATCTCCTAGGCTCTCTCAGAGCAAACAGTCCAAGGTTTATCTCCCAGAAGAGCCTTTTCCTCATGCACACCTTGTCCGTAACAATAGACTGAAGCATTTTTCTGGACTTAAAGGTAAGGTAAACTGTGTATATATGTAGTTACGTCTATTTTTTTATTTTCTTTTTTTTTATAAGATGTACATATTTTTAGCCCATGTAAAGAATTGGTAATGTAGAAATGACCTTGATTTGTTGTAGTATGTTACATCGTAATTTTACAAAAAAGAATTATCAGCCTTAACAGTCTTAATAGGTTGTTGTTTATGGTTTCTGAAAGATCTGCAGTATTAGTACTGTACAACAAAATGTGCTGTGACATGGAATCCTTGCATTTAACTTATGCAATTACCCAGTGCTATTACTCTTTTAGCATTTACCTTTATTTTTAATAATTTTCATTTTCAACATATTATGGAATTTTGTGTGCACCTGTTTAAAAAAAAATGACCACAATTTATAAAGACAATTTCACTACAGGTATATTTTAGTTTAATTTGTTTGTCTTGTATGTTACTTCAAATGTCTGTTCACATGTAGTGGAAGTTCTTAGATGTTATTAAGCTTATTGTTTTGTGGAAAAAAAGAAAATTGCAAAGAAACCTGATAGTTTATGATTGGTACAAAACAAACACTGATAATGTGTAATGTTAATTATATGTTTATGCTTAGACTCAGTGAGCAAAAACAATATACATTTTAGAAAGTAAAACTAATAAACATTAATAACTTATCACCCTATCACATACCAATAGGTAACAGACAAAATAAATGGAAAAGGTCTGTGAATTATTTGTTTACAACTATATTAAAAATTATCATGCTTTAACATTTTTTCATTGATTTTCTTATTTATTTAATACATGTAAATTATTATTTTTTTACTGCAAATTTTAGGTTTTAATGTTAAAGTGGGTCTCTGAAGTCCATCCAGTTATCAAAGAGTTGATACATAATCTTGTTTTATATTTTAATACTTTGTTCTGGATTGTAAATAAATGAAATTACCAATACATTAAAAGAGAAATACAGTAGAGCAGTTCTGTCAGTGCTAAAAAGAATGGTTATTGAAGTGTATAACTTTGTTTTTTGCTACTCATTTCATTCCAACAGAGTAATTCTTACATATGCAAATTATTTAGAAAACAATAAGTGTACAGCTTTATAAGATAAATGTTTTATACTTACTTTGTTTTAATTTTGTAGTAACTGTCAATGAATAGAGAATACTTCCTGTCTGTTGAGCTAAGGACTAAAGAGTTGGCAACATGTTACAAAAACAAACGTAAAGTTGAACTTTAAATTAAAATACACTGTTAATAAGTTTGTTTATCTGTGTGTTTTATATTGCATTTCAAATTTTATCAAGAAATTTTACCAACTTTGTTCTGTTATTTCATGCTTCTCTCAAGAAGTGTACAGAATGTGTATAAATTTGACTAAAACAACAGTCTGTACTTAAAAAAAACAAAAAACAGTGCATTCAGATGACTAAGGACACATAAAGTATGAACATACTGTCATTGACATAAGCTGAAATAATTAGTTCTGTTGCACGATTTAGGTAGTTGGAAGGTCTGCTTGGTAGGCTGCAAGTCTCATTTAAAGTTATCACGAAATTTTAAATAATCAAGAACGTATAAGATGAGGCTAATTGACCTAAATTGTTTTTAAAACCCATCAAAGCTACCTGAAAACACAATTACACTATGTTCTGTTTTCAGTATTGCCTAACAGGCTGCAATCCTTTCTCCATTATGTTAACATAAAACTTCTAAGATGATTCTGTTCTAATGATGGGTGTCTTGCTACATGAAGAGCCAGATTGAAACTGAACATCTTTAATACTGTTGAAGCATAATTGTGACTATCAAAAAATACCCCACCCCAACCAATCAATAGGCAAAGAAATGGTGCCAAAAAAATCACAATTACTTCTCGGGCTTGTGAGGATAGAATCCCAGCTCTGTGCTTGCAACACATGATTAAATTATACATGGTTCACATGCAACACTTTCAAAACTAAAACTTGAGTGGAAACTTTCTATCCAACAAACCCCAACTCTGTACTTGCAACACATGATTAAATTGTACATAGTTCACATGCAACACTTTCAAAACTAAAACTTGAGTGGAAACTTTCTATCCAACAAACCCCAACTCTGTACTTGCAACACACGATTAAATTGTACATAGTTCACATGCAACACTTTCAAAACTAAAACTTGATTGGAAACTTTCTATCCAACAAACCCCAACTCTGTACTTGCAACACACGATTAAATTGTACACGGTTCACATGCAACACTTGCAAAACTAAAACTTGATTGGAAACTTTCTACCCAACAAACTTTCAGTTGATTGACTGTATAAAATCTAAAGTTTTCTAGCTATCTATTAAAGTATTAAGGGGCAGTTCACATAATTTGAATACGGTTTATTATTCACTGCAACTAGTGTATGCTGTTTAAAGATACTAAATTTGATATAATTATTTTTTTTCACTTGTATATTTTTTTTTTTGCAGCAGAAGGCTTCAGTAATGAATTCCGAACACCATGCATAGTATTTGCTGGTCACCCTTCACTACGTTTTGGTGATGCTGTCCACTTTATGGAGCTGTGGGGGAACTCTTCAAACAATGTGGTGGTTTTTACAGGTCTTGTTAATAATTAGATTATCACATAGAAATATTTGTTTTTATGACAATAAGGGGTTATTTGAAAAGGAAATAAGAAAAGAAATATTAATCTTGTCTTTATATAAACATCCTAATGTGAAACCTAATATAGGTTAGGTACTTTTTGAAAGTTTAAAGAAAGTTCGTAAATGTTTTTTTAAAAGTTACATACCATTTGATGGATTACTATTGCCATAGTTACATCGTCATTATAATTTTTTTTTCATTTCAACTACTTCTAATGTAAATATTTTTTTTTCCACTTATTGATCGTCTATTAAAGTTATAAACACAAAGCTTAAGGTTGTTGCATAGCAAACTAGACCACTAAACTAAGAGTACATTAAGTAATTTAACAGCAGTAAAAAAAAACCTATAAATGGAATATAGCTTAATGTATTTTATTTCAATTTTTGACTTTGTATTTATAACAAAGTTCTTTGAGATTGTTGTATAAATAGATTTATGTTTTTAAAGGGAATGTTTCAAAAGAGCAAGTGACTTTACTGAAGTGTTTATTTAACATTAAGAAGTTGCACGTGTATCTCATTTAAGCAAGCTTTACGGAATGTTATTCAGTATCAGCTCCAGATTTAGGTAGGAAGTTAACGCATGAGCACATCTTTTTATAGTTTTGTACTTGCTTTCGTTTTCTTCCCTAATAGGTATTTTTTTTTATATTCAGAGTGTGGTATTTTTATTTGGGGCTGCAGAATAGTGTCTTAATTTTAGATAGTTTGTGTGTCATACCAGTAAATTAATTTGAAGTAGCCTATGTCTGATAATATTGTGTTTGAAAACAATTGGTTTATGATTTTTTGTGACATTTATTTTTGTCATAGCTGACAATTTTTGAATATTTTCAATCAAAGTAATCATATTTTTTTATCTTCAAAAATTTATTCTTACATAACTAAACAGTTGATGATCAATTCCAATCTTCAGGATGGCCTAGGAGTAAAACTTCAGAGTTTATAACTCTAGAATTTGGGGTTTTGATTCACACGGTGGATGCAGAGCAGTTAGCTCATTGTACAGCTTTGCACCAAGACACAAACAAATAAATAGTCTCTGTGATACTTTTCTTTGTACCTGTCTTCTTCATTGTTGGGAAAGAAAAACAAATAATCTAATATGCTTTTAATTTTAGTTGTTTACTTCATTGTTTATTCTGTAACTTGTACATATCATATTTCTTTCTTCTTGTACAGAACCAGATTTTCCATACCTTGATGCTGTTTCACCATTCCAGCCTCTAGCGATGAAGGTAAATGTCCTATTAATTGTAATTTGTTAACATAAATGAAAGTAAACATTATATTTTCTGAAGCATGTGTTATTATCTTTATATCAGTATAGGGTACGAAAGCATACCATTCATTTTCTACCTTCTTATATTAACGTAGACATTTTCAAAATTTGTCATTTATTCTGAATATATGAAAATTTTGCATAACAGAAAATCAATAAGTTGATTTTGTTCTAGCTGCCTTTATTTCTTTATTGATCTTAAGATAATACCTATTTTGCCCATGAGAAATATTGTTGCATGTTGTGCAAAAGGTCAACAACAACAGTGTTCTTCACTGGTAGAGCAGATGATATCTAGAGGTTACATCCCTTCCTATGTTGAATGAGAATGACCAATCATTTGGTAGAACTACATGCTATGAGTAAATACCATTTTTTTCCATTAAGTAACAATTGTTAGATTTAAACAGTTTAAACGAGATCTCGGGTTAGTTGGTGGATGGGAAGAAATCTTTAGGATAAAAAAATCTGTTGAAAAATTCACAAATCCAGTAGTGGGTGACTGTCCGGTATCCTAACACAAGTATGTCTAATGTGTTTGCCCATTGATTTAAAAAAAGATTGCTTTCATTTCATGTAACACATCATATTCAGTTGTTTATTTCTTTGCTTGAACTTGGTTATTTAATTAAATTCAGACTTACTTCATAATGTATCCTGCCAGTCCTTCTGTTATAAACTTACCTAATGTCATTTCATGAGGTCAGTTTAACCTGAAAATATCACATATATACAAAGAAAAACTATCTTCAAATTTTGAATTAACTTACTACAAACAATTTGTTTTAGTTTGAGCTCTTCTCTAGTGACAGTTCTTAATTTATACAAATTTTTTTACTCTTAACTTTATAATTTATAACCTGATAATATGGTGTTCTTTGTATTAACTATTGGCTGTTTGAAAATCATAAAGTTTAAACAGACCAATCTAAGTTAACTTTTACTGCTTATGAGCACTAATGATCAACTGTTTATATCAGTGTCTTTGTGTCCCATGTTTGTAATAGGATACTTTTATAAACTTTTGCTTTAAGCACATAATGATTTTTTTTTATAAATTATTTCCTAAAAATTCTCCATTGAGTGTATGTAGAACATAATGGAATTACTTATTCTTTAAGACTAATAATGGTGAATAGCTAGTTATCCTTTTTTATTGTCTGAGTAATTCTGGAATTATTTTTAAGTTCATAGTTATCATACTTTTACATATCACTTTGCATTCCTGATTTCGTTGTTTTTATTCTAACTTTAAGGTTTTTTTTCTTATTAAAGTTAATAAACAATACACTATTTCTCAAACCAACATACTTTTCTAAAGATGTTTCTTTGTTAGTAAATACTTTTATAGCATAAAAGTGTGTTAAATAATAAAGTTTTTATTTTCCTCGAAGGTGTTTTATTATCCAATCGATACAAGCCTTAGCTTCAGCCAAGCAAACAAGTTGATCCGAGACTTGAAACCTTTGCACCTTGTTGCGCCAGAAGTGTACACAACTCCACCAGCTTTGCAGAGACATAGATCTGATCTGAAAATTGAAGCAGTAAGTTAACGTTTGGAGAAAGTTAAACATTTAACAACTAAGATTGGTTCTATATCATGTTGCCTCTTGATGATGAGATTGTGCGGTATGGTTGCTCATTTGGCTTTAGAAAATACTGTTGTATTTGGAAAAACATATTCATATACATGGTAACAGAGGTTGTAGTAGAAGACGTTTAAAGTTACGTTTTTTTCCAAAATTATTTTTAAGCATAATGTTTTCCTGTAAAGCAATTAATTGATTTTTACTGAACATTTCAGTAACTTACCCAGTTATTAAAATATCTTTGAGTATTGTGAAAACTGGATGTGTTAAATCACAATGAAATATTTTTAAAAAATTGTATTGTTAACAAAATATTTCTTGGTATCTGTTTTCACTTTGTTCGTAATGGTCCCATGATGAAAACAGTGTTAGATTTGTGTGTTGTATGATATATATCCTGATGTATAGAGTAAAATAATTGTTTGTGTATCAGTATTTAAATCCAACTTGATTTTACTAAGATTTATATATATATTTTACAAAACCTATACTTAAAAAAAGTTTATTCTTCACAAATAGAGCCCTGTTTAGTGTCTGTGTAACAATTTATCTAGTGAAACATTTGGAGGCTTATCTTACGGTCTCTGTATCTTTCTTTGCAGGATTGTCCACTTATTGCATACAAAAGGGGAGATGTTTTACATATTCCTCTTCAAAGAAAGTATGAGAAAATAGAATTGGATCCAGAAGTTAGTACAAAAGGTTTACAGAAATATTTTGGATGATGATTTTTGGTGTTATTTGTATTATTGTTTTGTAGCTGTACTCTATTGATCAATGCTGTCATTCACAACTTTTAATACATCAGTTTAATCTTTTAATTTTCTTGTAAACCTGGCACAGCTCTTAGAAAAAATTAACTTTTTTGTTTTGTTTCAGTGACATTAACATATTATATTAATTGTCTAACACTAAGTTTCAGGAAAAGAAACGTTTAACCAATTTGGATAATAATAATAATGCTGTACACTACAAAAAGAAGAAGAAAATATGTACATGTAAACTAAAAGAAGTTTGAAATTACTCTTTAAAAAAAGATTTTAATATTTCCATAGTTGTTCTTCTTTCATTATAACTGAATAGTTACTGTAAACAAGAAAGTATACACTCTTTAACACTAATAATTTCCATAGAACCATCATAAAAAGTACCATAATCTTTCATTGGTATTTGAAGGCAATAACTCATGTTATTAGTGTATTGACACCCTGTTCAGTTTGATATCATCAGTAAACAACATATTTTTGAAAACAGTCTTTTAAGTTTACCTATTTCTTTTTACTCATAGCTATTAAGAAAATTTCTGATTGCACTACTAGGTTAGAAAGAAACAAAATGTTCGTATGAAGAAAACACCAAAAGGATGAACTGCCGAGTGTACATCACTTATATGCTTTTTTTAACATAGATTATTACAATTGAAATACAGTTGTAGTCACTTTAAGTTTCCTCGATGTTATACCTTCATTTTAATACTTTGAATACCTGTATACTTTTAGAAAAACAGATGTTTGTTGTGATTAGCAGCTCTTATGAAATGTGAAATTAGATTTAGAGTGTAGATTTATATTGTAGTGATTTATAGCAATTAAAGAAAATAAAATTTAAGATTATCATAATAGCATAACATTTTTTAAGTTCGTGTTTTTGTAATGCATTCAATTTAACCTGTAATTTGGCTCTAAAGTGATTCTTCTACAATATCAGTAACCTTTTTTTTATAGCATATATTTTTCTGTGTGTATTAAAAACTAATAGATGTTTATACACATCATGTACATATTGTTACAATGTTTTATCCTGTATATCCAACAATAAACAAGTTCTAAGCTATTACATAACATGGTACTACCTTTTATTTAAATTATATACATGTTATTGCAGCTAGCAGCATCTTTAACACCCACAGAAGTAAAACCAGGGGTTGCCCTAGCAACTATCACAGGAACTCTAGTGGTAAAGGATAATCGGAGTCACTTAAAGGTAGTTTAAATATAGTAAACTTTGTCTTTGTTTGTTAGAATGTTTTTCTTGTTTTTCTGTGCAAGTAAGTAACAGTAACCCACTGAAGAAAGAACCTACATAGAATTATTTCATATGTACATCCTTCATAACACATTGTTCTTGTTTTTAAAATTAGTGTGAAACTTTCTGATCTGAATCGGTTAGAATTTTTTTTTTTACACTTAGCAATGTAATAATGTTTTATTTTGCTTATAAGTAGTTTTATTTATATGTTCCTATGTATGTGTGTGTTTGTATGCAAATTAAATAATTTGGTGCACAATAATGTTTTTTTTTGTCATATAAATGTTTTATTTATAAACTTACTGTTAAAATTAAAAAGTTGGAACTTTAAAGTTCTTTGATATTAAAATAATTAATCATATTTAACTGATCTAAGAAACATGAACTGGAGAATGTCCAGTTTTCTGCTGAGAAGGGCATTCCCTGGTAGCATAGCAGTGAGTTTATGGACTTACAATGCTATATTCCAGGGTTTGATTCCCCGCAGTGGACACAGCAGATGGCTCAATGTGGTTTTATTCTAAAAAAAAAAAACTGAAAAGGGTTGAAATCTAAATGCTGAGAAGTTCATTTCCAACTGTGTTTTTTTTTTGTTGTTGTTTATTCATTCTTGTATTTATTGTTGTGCTTACTTGAAAAATCTCTGTTTCTATAATTACATTTTCTACTACTGCTAATGTATTTTCTAATATATTCAATATATATATTTAATATATTCACAGCCATTACTAGAACCAGATGGACAGGTGCCTGCTACCAAGAAAAGAAGACATGATGAGAGCAGAAATCCTACAAGTTACACTTGGGGAAGCCTAAATATTGTTCAGTTTGTTCAAAAGTTGGCCAAGGTAATTTGTATTAATTAATAAACTAGACTGTGTTTGAGCCTGCTAGGAAAATTATTATAGTTACCCTAAAATAACACACTGAAGATAAAGTAATTTTAACTACTGCAACCCTCAGTATAGGTTATAATTTAACCCAGATTTTTGATGTGCTTTCATGACCTTTCCTAAAAGCTTGTTTAGATTGATAAATTACTTTGAAAGATTCAACTGTGTTTAATGCTTTTAGTAAACATGTGTTTATCTGAACAAGAGTTTTATTTTGGTACAAAACATATTCTGTAAATATAGTGATTAGCTCACCGGGTAGAAGTGTTCAGTATTTATAAATTTGAAACAGCATCAACAGTAACACAAAGATGATGGGGAAGAAAAACATGTGATGATCATTGTAGCATATTTGAAAGAGAGAAACCAACCAAACAAAACTTCCATCATTATTCAAACCTCCCAAAAATAAAGATCCACTTCTTCTAACAATAGCAGCCCTAAAAGAATAAATGAAGTCAAAGGTAGTGGACATTTATGCCAGTCTGCTCCTGTGCTGACCCTTGCAGGTTATAAGGTGTCTTTCTACTCCTGTGTTGTCCCTCACAGTTTGTAAAATGTCACTCTGCTCCTGGGTTGTCCCTCACAATTTGTAAGATGTCGCTCTGTTCCTGTGTAGTACCCCAGTTTGTAAGAAGTCACTCTGCTCCTGTGTTGTCCCTCACAGTTTGTAAGATGTCACTGTTCCTGTGTAGTACCCCAGTTTGTAAGAAGTCACTCTGCTTCTGTGTTGTCCCTCACAGTTTGTAAGATGTCACTGTTCCTGTGTAGTACCCCAGTTTGTAAGAAGTCACTCTGCTCCGTGTTGTCCCTCACAATTTGTAAAATGCCACTCTGTTGGTTAAATCAGGTTATTTTTATATTGGTGTGGCATGAGTTGTAGTTGGTTTTCTCTCCTCTGGTCAGCACTAATTGGAAGACTAATGTAAACTAATTAATTTGATATGATGTCACATAAATCAGTTTCAATAATTGTCACTGTTCTAAATATAAATTGTTTTAATGTTTTGTGAAACAATACTCATCAGTGACTAAGTAAAATATGACACTCTAAAGAGTGAACAACTAATTTAAAAGTTGAACGTTAAAGTAACAAATAACCCTCTTTCCATTTTTTTTTTCACATACTTGACATGCTACAAATTCCATTTTTATCTTGATTATATGTTATTGTGATCTTTCGTATTTACAGTTTTGTGTAAGAAACTTATCTTGTAGCAGACAATATTGGTAAAGTGATTATTAAGCATAATTTAAGTATCAACAAAATATAAAAAAAAACAAAAAACTATTGTTCCTTATAATTCATCAATATCCCTTAATACCAGTGTTTTAAATCTTTCTTCTTTTAGGCTGGGATTATTGATGTTAAAGTAGAAGATAGCTCAACTGGTTTTGTGGTTCATTTGGTAAGTTCACTTTGTGATATTTGCTGACAACATAGCTGTGTAAGTCAGTTTTGACTTATTGTATACTAAGTGTAATGTAAGCTACCAAGTTACTACTTTTGTTATGATTAAGATGTCTATAAATAACTCAATACAAGGAAACCGAGTAGCATTATTATACGTTTTTTTCAAAAAATGAAAAATTATCTCTGTGATAAGCATGTAAAACAGATATTGCTAGCGTATGTTCTAAAAAATGTTTTATTTGTAAACTGACTAAGAAATGTAAAGTAGTTATTGTTTTTCACAGTTTTGTTGCTTCTTCTTTGGATTAGTCAGTGAAAAGAATATGTCATAAGTAGCAAAATTATTTTTTATAATATGACTAGTTGTCCTATGTGTATCTGATGTGTCAGCCAGTAAAAGAAAAAAAAAATAAATGTGAGAAAACTAAAATGGTCATTATTTCACAAGATAACTTTACTTAATTTAGTCAATGATTTTTTTTTCAGTTTTTTTTTGTGGAAATTCAGGACCAGATCTGTGAAATGTATAAATTATTGTCTATAATTAGGTAGTTTAGGGTGAGTCCAGCTAAACATTCTGAAGTTTATCAGATTGATTCAGTTATAATCTTACTGCATTAAGTTAAATTTTACTCTAATGGTTACAGGTACAGGTTACAGCTGGTATAGATTAACACTCTCACCACAGGCAGATTAGAGTCTGTATGTCACAACTTTTTAAGAGTTATGTTCAAAAATTAGTTAGACTACTTTATTATTAGTGTATACGAACAAACTTGGAATCAAAATGTAGATAATAAGTCAGATTTTAAAGTTATAAGGAAATATGTTAAATTATCCTTAATCTCTCCTATTATGAGAATTGTGACATTTGTTCTCTAATTTATTTACCACCATTCTGAGGAGTATGGAATTTCTCATTATAATATAAATAATACTCAGGTAGGTAAAGCATAATTTTTAAAGCCTTCAATTGTATTTGTCTACAGAGCCATAAACTATAAAATCAGACCCACTTGTCACACCCACCTTTTACAAGTTGCC